AAGTGCATATTCCACTGAGCCATCTCCCTGGCCCTGGGCTCATTTTAGGCGAGGAGCAGGTGGATCAGTAATAACAACAGGCTTCGTAGGGGCCCCTATAATCACGCCTTGGTGAGAGCCTAAATCTCTTAGCATTTTTGATGAACATGCTTCCCAAACAATCTTGACAGCATGAGACTATTTTGGTCTGTTAAGTTAGCAACATCTTTTTCAAAAATGATAATAATCACTTCGGGGAAGAGGAGAGAGATGGATACAGCGTGTATAGCTAGGTAGTGCTCTGACACTGAGGCATAACTCCAGCCCCCCACAAGTGAAACTTCTGTTAAGGAGTCTTCCAATTTGTACAGGAGGCTTAAAATTACATTTTAGACAGTTGTTATTACATATATGCCGTCCCATGATGCACTTTTGGCTCAGCTATTCTGTTTCTAGTAATCACATTTCAGAAAATGATGAACTATGTAACAAAGATTTGTGATGTTTATCTCAGTATTGTTACTGTCAGACTATAGAAATTGAGTGTCTAATGAGAAATGGTAAAATAAGTCACATTAAACCCATTGGTGGAATATTACACCCTCCTCAACAAGCACATATGTATTTAGAGAAAATACATAGCTGGTGCACAGAAAATAAAATATTGATCTTAGCTACATGAAAAAGGTGTTGACCTTGAATCAAGAGAAAAGCAAATTAAAAGTGCATGAAATGCCTAAGTTGCTAGCAAAAGACTAATAGGCTTGATCCCTGCTGTTATGGGAGAGAGAAACTTGGAATTATCCACGGTAGGATAACAGCTTACCTTTACGGTTAGAGGCTTACAACAACAATCAACATTTGTTGCCTCTCCGGTTGCTGTAGGTCAGCACTGTTGGAGCAGCCCAGCTCGATCGTTGTGGATGGAGTGTCTGAGAGGTTGGCCCCACAGGAAGGCTTGGCTGGCTGCTTGCTCCCAGGGCTGGCAAGGTGACCAGGTTGGTGGAAGGAGGTCTCCGTCCGTCTCTCCCTGGGGGCCTCCCGAAGGGCTGCCGGATGACCTGTGTTATCAGGGTCTGGGAACTGGTTTTCTCTGGAGTGACCTAAGAGATGGAGGACGGTCAAGATACTGTTTATGATTTTACCTCAGAAGTTCTGAAAAACCATGGCCACCCACTCGGGTCGTACAGACCAGCTTGGATGTAGTACAGGGTTAAGGGGAGGAGACACAAACCAGGTGCGGATCATCAGAGAAAGAAATATCCCACTTAGCTCTGTTAGTACTGGGGAGCTAGGTCTTAAAAATATTGTGTGTGTGTGTAAATTGTATATTCTATTTTAGGAAGGACATAAAAAAGCTGTCAACACTACCAGTCCCTTTGGGGGACAGAGATGATGGCAAAACATTATCCTTTTTTAATTATTTTTTATGTACTTGGTACAGTTCTCACTACGCAGTCTTGACTCATAGTGATCCTCCTGTTTTCAGCTTCCCCAGTGCTGGGATTACAGGCGCATGTCACCATGCCAGGTCTCGTTGGCTGGCTCAGTGCACCCAGGGGTGGGCCAGTGTGGAATGTGGTGCTGGGCAAAACATTATTTATCTATGTTTCAATAGTTTTCAAATTTTACACTGTAGAGATACAGTGCCTAGAGAGTTTGATTAAAAAATAAAAATTGATTTCAAAAGCAAAGCAGTAGACTCTTACATGACAGCATGTGCCCACAATCCCAGGTACTTTGAGTCAGGAGTGTTGGAGCCCAGGACTTTGGGGTCGGGCTGGGCAACAGAGGGAGACTCCGTGTATCAGTTACTTTTCTCTTGTTATTGTGACAAATACCTGACACTCAAAGTGAAGGAAGGAAAAGGTTATTTAGCTCATAGTTCCTAGAGGTTTCCATCCATACTCGGCTGGCTCCAGGGCAGAGTGTCACATGGCAGAGGGCAGCCTTTCATGGTGGGGCCAAAGAGCACAGAGCAAAAGGGAGGAGCAGCAGCAACAATGGCTACAGAGAGGGAGTCTGTCTCCCTTAAGTCGAATTCAGGCTATCCGCCCCAGGCTGGGTATAGCACTCACGCCCATAATCTCAAGTGCTCAGACCCATAATCCCAGCCTTGGATCCTCCACTTCCTTCTCCTTCTCCCCCTCCCCCTCCCCCTGCCCTTCCCCTCTTCTTCCTTTTCCTCGTCCTCCATTGACTATCTTAGTATGGCAGCCATGAAAATGTGTCTAGCACAACTCCAACTACAGAGTATAAGCGACCAAGGACCAGCAGCCCCTGTGCTCCAAATGCCATAGCTGAATTTGCCCCTGACCAAGTTTCCCATGGGCTGCTCCCAGCAGGGAACAAACCTCACAAAACTATCAGGACAGATGGCTTCCTAGAGAAGGGACGTGCACTTCCGTTCAAGGACTCCCTGATGGCCTTGTATCACTGTATTGCAAAGCTCTTGGGGTTTCCTGTACCAGTGCTCTAAGGCTTTTGCAAATCTTTCTTATTTAAACATTTAATACCATCCTGACATTTTCCTCAAGGAGTCAGACTAGTAAAAGTAGTCTTGGGACTGAAGTAGTAGTATCATTGGCCCTTTTTCAAATTGGGAGTATTGGCAGTTCATGCTTACAGGAATGGATACCTATTCTGAGATGGGTTTGCCCTTCCTGCTTTTGGCTGGCAGGGTAAGTGGTGTGATCAGGGCTCTTGCTGGGAGATGCAGCACACATTCTGTTGGACTGCAGACCGTTAAGATCTTTCCATCCAAAGACCCCACTAAGAGCTTAAAGCATCAAGTCCATACAATGGGAAGACACATTCGCAACTCATGAACTTAATATAACACATGTACAGACTCCATGAATCTTCCTCAGGAACTCGGACTAATGATAGTATTCTTAGTGAAATACTGTGCGGGTCAGATAGCTCAGTGGACTAAAGCACCTGCTTAGGCAGATGCAGCAGGTAGGGTAGATTCCCCAGCATGTGGTGCTGACCCCTCACCCGGGGCACATTGAGACAGCACTGGGGCTGGGCTTGGTGGCGCATGCCCGTAATCCCAGCATTTGGTAGGCTGAACACAGGCGGATTACTTTGAGTCCAATCTACGTAGTGAGAGCCTGTAGACCCTATCCTAAATACAAAAAGAAAAACAATACTGATAAAAACTGCAAGTCACTGTAACAAATTTATTATGACTTCAGACATGAAAAAAAAAGGCGTAACATAGGAACAAATGGGGCACTAATGCTACCTGCCTTTTTCCATCTTCTGGCAAAGATTATTATTGGTAGTGCTCGCTTCGGCAGCACATATACTAAAATTGGAATGATACAGAGAAGATTAGCATGGCCCCTGCACAAGGATGACACGCAAATTTTCCATATTAAAAAAAAAAAAGAAAAAAGATTATTATTGGTAGCACAGGACATTGAGTGCTAGTGAGCTGTACTCTTAGACTCTTTTAAAATTTTCTTTTGAGATAGGACCTCACTAAGTTGCCCGGGGCGGCTTTGAGCTTGAGATCTTCCTGCTTCTGCTTGCTTAATGGATGTGCACCATCATGTTTAGCCCCGGGGCAGATTTCTTATTTTATTAGTATCTGAGTTTCGTAATGATCATATTTGTCTGGGGGGATTGGCACATACACATTCTTACGAGGGAGATAACTCAATAGAGAAATAGGCAGAGCTCCTTTAAAAACTATGTCAGGGGCCGGGGAGATGGCTCAGTGGAATAAGCACTTCCCTGGCAAGCGCAAGGGCCTGAGTTCAATCCCTGGTTCTGCAAAAAAAAAAAAAAAAACAAAAACAACCCAACAAATTATGTCACAATGCCAGGCGAGATGGTGCCAGCCTGCAATCCTAGGAGTCTGGGAGGCTAAGGCAGGTGTGTCACAAATTTGAGCCTTGCCTGGGCAATTTAGTGACTTAATGAGATGTTGTCTCAAAAATGGGCTGGCAGTGGAGCTCAGTAAGAAGGTCCTGGGTTCAGTTCCCATTACTGAAAAAGGGGAGGCTTTTCTTTTTTGTTAATATTTTCAGTATCAAAACGTAGCATATATAGAACAAAAAGAGAAAAAGATTCAGGGAGTGTGCACTTGGAGAATTTTCTTGATTATTGTTTGATTTTCTCTAGATATTCAGGTCTTTTCTTTACCCTCAGGAAAATCAGGACTGACCCTAGATGAGTTTTGTAACAGCTTTTTAACATATACTCAAATTTATGCCTCGCAAACACCTTTCCATGTCCTTCCCATCTCTAGCATGTTTAATAAAGGCAGCTGGTTGCCATTGCATTGGGACATCTGTCCTCTAAGAATTGCTTTTAATGTATTTAGTACAGGGTCTACAGGGTCTCGCTGCATAGATCAGACTCATAGTGATCCTTCTGTTTTCAGATAAGAGCTCATTTTTTTGTGTTTGTTTTTCCAATTTTTTCAGTGCTACAGATAATGTGGCAATCATCCTTGCAACTCAATCTTTAGTCTACATTCAGGATTTAAAACTACTGAATCAAGTGCTACAAGTTGAGTGGCTACAAAGAATGCAGACAGGCCTCAGATCTCCTCACTCTATGGTTAGTTTTTCAGCCAGTGAAGTAGCAGATTGAAAAGAGCACAATTTGAAATAGGTTCCTGTCATGTTCTAGGTATGCTATGAACGACAGCAGTGCTGATCATGGTGCCTAGGGTATTGTTTTATTTATTTCCTAGTAACCCTAACCCTACTGGCTAGGTGGCTAGAAAGAGCTGCCTTTTACTAATAAACAGATTCTAACACTTTACTCAAGTTCTCATAAAGCAAGTGGGATCCAGCACCAGGCCCACTGGACACCAACACTCCCGGATTCCATGAAGTTGTCCAGGGAAATGCTAAGCCCTGTTGCTGAATTGTACCAGGAGTCCAACAGGACCAGTGACTTCTGAAAGCCATGGTACCCATGGGTCGTGGTGAGCATGGTGCTTTACTGCTCCAAATGGATCTGATGACAAAAGCAAGCCAGCTTGCGACAGAAGACGCTGAGTCAGGAAGGGCCGGGGCATGTAGGGAGGTAGGCTGAGTCTGATAGAGGTTAACAGAAGATAAGATGTTGAAATCCTGGGTGAAGCCACTTGGTGATGACATGTCACAAGCTTGTACAGGCCTTCTGGGCCATCAGGGTACCGAGCTGCTTGGCCTCATTCCCTGGAGTCAGATTGATAAGGACATTCCAGGGAGACCAGGCACAGCTGGGAGAGGTCAGAAGCGAGTAGTTTATGAGCATACATTGAGTTGGAGAGGTTTGTGCATGGCTCTGGGATGTGGCAGGGTGTGCTTGGGGAACGTCAAGCACTGAGTCTTTTGGGAGATGGTCCATGAAGTTGGCTCAGGCTGCACCGAGTTTTCATGAGGTTGTTAGTACTGGCTCCTGGAAAACAGCAAGAAAATGTGTGTGTGTGTGTGTGTGTGTGTGTGTGTGTGTG